ATGAGGCAAAAAGAATAAACCTAGCGTGCACTTTGTACTTAAAGGTAGACTGCCTCTAAGCATGCAGGTTCCGCAGGTACATCATGACCAAGAGCCCACTTCCTCATAGGCTTGAGATCCGTAGATTAATGCAAGAGATATTTCTGGAGAACCTTCAGTTTCATCTACTTGTTTTTCGATGGATGTATTTTTCTTTCTGTATACACTGAGAGCATATGCACCAAAGACAAATTCCTTGTGTGTCCAAACACAGTTGGCCAATAAAATAAAGAATTCTATATAATTCTATAATTCCTAGAATAGACATCGCCTTACATTTCTTACTTTGGAGTGGAACGTGATACAATAAGGACGAAACCTCAATAAAATGAAAAAGAAAAGCAGCATCTTTTAAACCCGCTAAAAAGCGAAAGCCTCCGCTGCCAGAATAAAGATCTAATCCTGGCCTTTTAAATCGGTGGGCGGGGTTTGTGGAGAAACGTCACCGCCCGCTTGTAACCTACCACAGACTTCCTCCTTACACAGTATAGCGGGTGAGCGTCACCTGGTGGCCGAGGGACGGAAAGGCAGGATGAAGCTGATGCTTATTGGCTGTTGAGCCGCTGCGTGTCAGCGGGGTATATTTCCGTTTCGATAGCAGCAGAGCGGAAGTAGCAGGATGTTGGGGGATTTGCTGCTGTTCGGGTAAGGGGGAAAGAAAGAGAGAGAGAGAGATAGCTTGTTGCTAAGCAACCAGTTTTATTAAGCGGGGGGAGGCATAGCTGTTTCTCTGTTTGGTAAATTCGACTCTGCGTGACTGAGGAGTGCAAAGGTTGTGTAAATATGAGACAAGGGACAGCAGAATACCCCAACCTGCATTCTCCTAGGGAAACAGCTTTGGCTAAATTTCTTGTGTCTGCCCTGCAGCTCTTAAAAGTGGGGGGGGGGAGATGTTTGTAAAATCAAAGTAGCAATGTACAAAAAAAATGAATTGTATTTGTGGTTATGTCAAAATATGTATGGAAATGACAAAGCCAGGAAGACAGCTCTGTGTCCAATGTTTTTAATGTGTATTTAATAAAAACTTTTTTTTAAAAAGTGCAAAAAAAGAGGTCAAGGAGTAATTGGAATGGGACATCAAGGAAAGGCATGGAGGAAGCAGTTATCCCTAACTTGTAGGCAGTTTCTTGCCCTTCCCTAGCTCAGAAATGTTAAGAATTAAAGTGGAAAAGGCCACAAGCTGTTGTATATTCTCACTTTTTTTCTTCTTCTTCTTCTGCCACATAGGACTCTGTTGGTCAATGCCGGAGCAGTGTTAAATTTCAGGCTGTAAGTACTTGAAAAAGCAGGATTTGCTTTGTTGGGAAAATGCAGGCATTCCTATAATAGTAGGAATTGGAGTTTTTGTGCTTCCAACATGAGGAGCTTTCTGGGAAAGCTTTTGATTCAAAGATTGCAACGTATGATTTTGGTCACAGAAAACATCTGGTTTCAAGGTTGTTAGATATGCTTTAGGAAAATTGGCAAAAATTCCTTTCTAGACAGCTGCTGTTCCTTAGAGACTAGTTTATTGGATGGAATTGATAGGACACAACTTTCTGCAAACCAGAGAGCCTCTTGTTAAAATGTCAACAATGCTCCTATGACTCCTCCCCAATCTGCTGACTAAACACATCCCACAGCCATGTTTTCTTTTGCAAAATATAAATGTAGTTGGCCATTGTCTTGATTTTTCAAAATACATGTTGTATTTGCCTCATTTTAAATGATAACCTGGGCAACTAAACTGGTGGGATAGCATAAAAACCCTGAGATTTCTTGTTAAATAGTAACTCAGTGCAACTTTACTTAGCTTTTCAGGATCAGCCATCACTGCCTAGATTCAAGTGTAAAGTGACTGACTTGCAATCAGAAGGTTCAATTATCTTTACTTCCAATTAGAGCACTTAGCAGTTTTACAAAAGACCTGAGAGCTATACTGTTCCTATGTTGTTAGGAGTATAAGAAATGTGTATCCAACCCAGATGTTCTGTTTACTACAGTGGCCAAATTAGTGGTTCTATAGGAATATCATAAACTGAATATTATAGCAGTGGGTGAACCAGCTGCAAGTGCTGTTTAAATCATGGAAATTTCCCTTAATTGTTGCAAGAAGATTCTTGTTGTATCCTGCCTAAATTGTATTCATCTGGTCCAGCATTTTTTTGAATGGCTAATCATTTCTGAAAATTCTTCAAGTGGGCCTTGAAACTTGATTTCTTTCTGGGATTCAGCAAATTGCTATAGTATTCCATCGTTACCTTGGTTAATAGCTGTCAGCAAATTTTCTTCTGTCATTGTCCATTTTAACATATTCCTGTTTGCCTTAAATTATGAAACACTACTATGTTCTGGGATTATTGTTCCAGGAAGAAGAAAGAGAGTCAGATTTTTGGTGAAGAAGGAAGAACACCAACAACAGGTAAAAATTCTGGCTGAGGTCCTTGTACTGAAAGTTTTTTTTTAACTTGCTATGTGTCTCCAAAATAGTTGCAATTAATTTTTTTAGTTTTGTTTTGAGATATTGCATAGAAAATTATGAAATAGAAATAAAACATTCTAGACTATTTGTTGCCATACACATATTGTAATTGTTTCATTTTAAAAGACAACTCTGTCTACTAAACTGGTAACATTGTTTAACAAATTAATTAAGAATTACATTTTTACATAGTAATGCAAAATTATGAAAAGGTAACTCCTTTTATATTTTCAGATTTAATAAACATTGTTTTTACTGGACCCCATTTCTCTGTGTTTGGACAGTGAAATCAAGGTTTTTGTGTAAATCATTGTTGCCCCTTCTTGGTGAGAATAGTATCAAATTTGCTGCAGTTAGTGCTTTACATACTGCATTTTTCATTCTGTGGTTTTATTTTAGCCTAATTGTATGTTTATTTAAAAGCATTTAGAACAGAATTAAGGTGAGCCCCAGAATTTCTCAAGGCAGAGATGTTGATTTGTCAACAATTAACAACATTCATTATGAAGGCTGAGAAACACAGGGCAAAACATGAGTTAAGCCATGGAAAATTAAAGTACATTGAATATAAACAATAAACTGAAAAAAACTTCAGATTGATAGAAAGCAATTAGTGTTCTAATGATTTCTTCCTAGTATGTAATAAAAATACATGTACACAGTAATGTGTGTCAGATAAAATTTTCATCAAATACAAACCTAGAATTATTCAAGCTATGCTGAGTTGAATGTGTGAGATATTCTGCTGAGGTTTTATGAGTTTGACATCAGGCAAATATATATCCACTCAGATATTGAACTTTCTCAGTTCTAGCCAGGATAAGCAGTTCATGGGAGTTGCTATTCAACAATTTCTAGAGAATTGCCTATCCCGAACTCAAACCAAATGATACATCATTAAGTGACTATCCTTTGGCCTGATAGCAACTTTCCTCTCCCCTCCATGTTCTGTAAATATAGTATGGAGATTTCTTAGCCTTTCAGACCATAGGCATGAAGGAAGGGGGAGATATTGAATCCAAGAAATAATTCTAATTGTTTAAGTCAGCCTGGAATCAGGTGGTACCTAAATTAATGACTGAATAAATTATTGCTAAGTGTACACTGAAAGAAGTGTGGATGAAACAAGGTATAGTTTTTGCCATGAATGTAATTTCATTTACTTCCCAACTTCTAGGTGATAATATCAGGGAGTTTCTGTTGAGCTTAAGATACTTTCGGATCTTCATCGCACTGTGGAATATTTTCATGATGTTTTGCATGATTGTGTAAGTAACCCCAACAAAGATGTTATGTTTTTTGTCTTCCTTACCTTGTCTTTTTAATGTTTGGTTTGCACAGTTACATAATATATGGTATTCTTCTAACTACTCCACAGTATCAGCACTTAAACATGAAAAGGTGGCAATCCTGAATTGATACTGCTGTAGTAATAAAATGGTTATAAAATGTGAGCTTCGATTATTCTAAGTTCACATTGATAATTTATTGTTTTCAGTGTTCCTTATATAATGATATTTTGTAATACGTTTCAATGGTTTAACTTATCGTACAGTATAAAAGGACAATATACAATCTTGGTTTGGCTTGCATGTTTATTATAAGAATAACTGATAAAAATTAGTCATTAACTTTCCTTTTGTTTTTCATTAGGCTGTTTGGATCTTAAACAACTTTGACTGAACTGACAACAAGACACGTTAACCTTTGGCAATTTGCAGATGACTTCCAACTGGAAATATAAAATACTCCTAAGTAAAAAAATTGACATCCTTGTAGTATTGAGTTCTGGCTTATTTTTACTACAAATATCAAAGGAACATTCACCATTCCCTATTTTCCCCTGTTCTTGTTTTTCCCCCTAGTTTTTTTTCCTGTTATTTGGTTAAAGAACAAATGGACTTTCAGCCCTGTGAAGGGGTACTTGGCTTATGGTTGCAGGCATGGCAACCATGGAGAACAGAGCTTTATGTGAAGATAGGAAGAAATGTTAGAAGAAATGTATGTTAAAATTTTGACACAAGTACAAAAATGGCATTGCAGTGCATGCTTTATCAGTCATTGGATTTAAATTTAGCCTTTAGCCCCACTAAAAGAAAAAAAATAGTTTTTAGATAGGAGAACATGATAAAACAATTTTGTTTTTAATATAAATGAGGAAAAAAAGCTATAGTCGTCCTTGCCTTAAAGCAGTGTTTCTCAATCTTAGCAAATTTAAAGTGGGGGGGGGCTTCAGCTCCCAGCAAGGCTGGCTGCAGAATTCTGGGAATTCAAATCCCAGCAAGGATTACTGGGGAATTTGGGGAGTTGAAGTCCAGCCATCTTGCCAAGGTTGAGAAACATTGCTTTAAAGTAACACCACACAGGTAGTCCTTCATTTATGATCACAATTGGTTCCCAAATTTCCATTGCTAAACAAGACAGTTAAGTGAGTTTTGCCCCATTTTACAAACTTTCTTGCCACATTGTTAGATGAATTGCTACAGTTGTTAGTAACATGGTTAAGTTAATCTGGTTCCCCATTGACTGTGCTTGTCAGGTCACAAAAAGTAATCACATGACCCTGGGACACTTCAACCACTTTAAATGTGGTTGCCAAGTGTGCAAATTTTGGACATGTGACCACTGGGATGCTGGAATGGTCATAAGTGTGAAAAACCATAAGTGACCTTTTTCAGTGCCATTGTAATTTTGAATGGTCACTACATGAATGTTGTAAATCAAGGACCATCTATAGTAGTATTTAAGAATCTGCATTCAACTCCTTGCTGACCAGAAAACAATTTACACTAAGTATTCCTGATCAGGAAAGGGTGATGCAGAAAATAAGTTGATGCCCAAAAGCAGTTTGAGTGGAAAGTTATGAACTGTGCAAGACTTGTTGTATGACACTCTGCCAAAGGAGAATAACTGATTATATACCTTATTCTTGTAATAGTCAATTGGAGTAGACCTAAGTGGTTATGCAGCACAAATATCTGGGGGAATGTCAATATCTAAAGCAGTTTGGCCTTTAATGATCCTTAAAATAGGAGGATATCCCTGGGAGGTGAATCTGTGAAATCATCTTTTGTTGAAAGTCTGGAGATCTTATTATATGTGTATGAAGAGATTATCTGAACATCTGGGCTCAAAATTCTAATGAAATAAACATAATTGTATACTTTCTATACTGAGTCATTTTTTTTTCTTTCAGCAGAAAGGGGTTAGGGCAGACATAAGGAAACTAATCTCATGGAACTTTCTGAAAAAGTGAGTGGAAAAAATGTAGAGATAATGCAACATTGCTGGTTTACAAATAATAACTAATAATCAAAATAAATATTACATTTTACAGATGATAACACAGCATCAGCAGCTCAGCAAATGATTGTTTTCGTTTCCCTCCTGAATATTAAATGGTGGGATGAATGAGACATCCTTTCATACTAAGTAAATTGTTTCATCAGACTGGGGCCTGATTTTTGTTCCTGCCCTATCAGCCTCATGGGAAAGGTGAGAGCAGAGTTCACATTGTCCTTTTGTAATTGCAATATGCAGCATTCAGAAACGGAGGAAAGCTGCTCTTAAAAATCAGCTGCGGCTATTATTTGTATTCCTTTCATGATGTTTATATTCCTTTTAAGAACAGTCATTATTGACAGCATGAATTCAAATAAACATAGAAGGCTGGTGTCATGCTGCTCCGGGATTTAAGCAATATACTTTGTTAATGGATTATCTTTAGGTTTCTATGGAAGTGCTTAGAAAGCCGTTTGGTTAAGATGTCTATAGATATTCTCAATGATCCACATCATGGTTTTCCCATAGATCCTTTTCAAAAGGAAATTGGACTTTATTTTCTCCTTGAAAGCATTTTGCTTCTTAGCTAAAAAGCAGAACTGAAAAAACTTCTTAGATGAGAAGCAAAACTTTTTCAAGGAAAAAACAAAGCTCAGCTGCCTTTTGAAAAACACCTTTGGGACAACTGTTGGTCAGAGTTAATCCAACAGCTGATATTCATCTTGCAGACAAAAATTAGGAACCATTCTGATTATGGAAAGCAGACTATATCAAGTTAAAAGTTTCGTTCAACAATGAAATTATCAACTTTGTGATCAAAACAGGGTTACTATTAAGACCTGAGATCTTGTGAGTACTTTCTGCAGGTTTCTCATAGGATAGAAAAGTAAATGGCAGTTAGTTGCTGGAATCAATAATTTCTACCATGGGTCCTGAAATCTTAAAAATTCATTGGAATTCAACTAATTTTACTAAAGAACTCATGATCATTGTTAATGGTACTCTGAATTATTCCTAAACAAAAAAACAGATTAAAGCATTTGGTAAATACAATTTAATGTCAACCCCTATAGATTCAGGTTAGTAATCACCAGAGAGACAATCAGCATTAGAAAAACATCTCTCAGAGCAAAAGGGATTTGAAATGCAAGCAGAATATTAATTGCTTAATACTTGCTTCTTTATAGTTTTTGTCTATGGCGCTTCTGGAAACAAGGAATATACCTATATGCTTCTGTGAATTTTTTCAGAGCTTCCGCTGTGATTTTTGAAAATATTCATTACTTTTAGATAAATTCATTTATCTATTTAGATTTTACTATCAAAGATACAGGCAGAAAAGAAATGTAATCTTTACCTAGAAGGACAAAATACAGAGGTCTAGCTGAATCTTATGATAAAATAGTTTCTGTATATTTCTTGGGGCAAATACTTCAAATATTAATAAAAAGATACCATATTTTTCAGAGTGTAAGATACACCTTTCCCCCACCCCAAAAGAGGATAAAAATCTGGGTGCCTCATACACTGAATACAGCATTTTTGGCCTCCCAATCCACCCACCCCGCACATCCCGTTTTTCGCAAAAATGGACATGCAGAGGGTTTGGGAGTCCTGCAAAGTTCTCCAGGGGGCTGGGGAGGGCAAAAATGAGCGAACAATCGGTCTGTTTTTCACAAAAATTGTGTCTTTGCTCTCCCAAGGCCCCAGGAACACTCTGCAGGCCTTCCAAACTCTATGTATGCCCCCTTTTTAGCAAAAATTGGGCCATTTTTTCCTCCTTTCTGCCTCCCCCAGCCCCCCAGGAGCACTCTACAGGCCTCCCAAACCCTCTGGACACCCTGTTTTCATGAAAAACAGGCCCGTTTTTCACCTCCCAAATCCCCCATATGTCCCGTTTTTGCCCTCCCCTGCCCCCAGGAGCATTTTGCAGGCCTCCCAAACTCTCTGCACACCCCATTTTTCACAGAAAACAGGGTGTGCAGAGGGTATGGGGGGGCCTACAAAGTGCTCCTGGGGGCTGGGGAGAGCAAAAATGTTTTTTTTTTTAATTTTCCTCTTCAAAATCTTGGTACATTTTATACCGGGGTGCGTGTTATTGTCCGAAAAATATGGTAAGTGCTTAGTGTTATTTCTTTCATGGTGCCCAATTCTCAATAACTCTTTTTAAATAAATAAATCTGGAGGGGCAGGTAGTTCACAACGGTCAGAATAAATTGCAATAAAATCAGTAAAACATAAAAATAAACATAAAATATGGCAAATGTGATGGTCTCACTCTTCCTTGCCAAACATCTGGGTGAACAGCCTTGCGTGGTTTCAAAGAAGTGCAATACGTGAATCCAATCACTATTTGTAATCTAGATGTATGCTTTTTTTAAAAAAATGGTGTCTTTGTTTCATTCATTCCTGGGGACTACCTGCAGTATTTCCTATAGTGTTCTTGGCAAGATTTTAAAAAGAGAGTCATTGTCTATGGCTTAGCTATGTATAAATACGGCATTTGGACTTTCTCAACAAAATGTAGTTAAGATGAATCATGTGGACTGAATATGGTAGGTATGTGAATCTTAAACTTATTTAAGGTCTCATGAGACTTGTACAGCACCAGTTTATTCACAGTAGTCCCAAAGATGCTTTTCTGGAAGGCATCTGGACTTCTTGGATGAGAAGCTAAATGTTTTAAAAGAAATCAAGAAATTCCACTTGCCTTTTTGGAAAAGCACCTTTGGGACTACCATGACATGGATGATTGAGAATCTCCGTAGAGATTTGGTCATAGTAATTTAATTTTAACCAGTGTCTGACTCTTAGGAACCCCGTGGACCCTAGCATGCCAGGCGCCCCAGTCCCCTATTGTCTCCCTGAGTTTGTCCAAAATTATGCCCACTGGATAGATGATACTATCTATCTATATTAAATAAATAGGGATAATTGATTGGGAAACACCCAGAGTTGGTTATAAGTTAGGTGGCTAGGTAAATGTTTTAAATAAATATATCTGGAGGGGCAGGGTCTAGATAGGCACAAACTCACCACAATGTAAGGTAATGATGCTGTTAATAGTTACATTTTTTAATACAAAGAAGGATTGTGTAAGAAGGATTGTTCCATAATTCTACTTTTATTAGGGCTACATAAAATAGAAAAAGAAGATTATTTACTGTATATGGCAGAGTTTGGTCATTCTTCATTCCCAGACTTTTTAATTCAGTCTTCTAAATTCTGCTTTGGCAAATTTTATTCTATCTGCAAAATTCTGAATAGAGAAAATTCATCCTAAGATAAATAAGAACAGTAGATTTATTTCTCAGATCTCTTATAAACCCCATCTGCCTTTTACAGTTGAGTTATACAGGTGAGCACTGCCCTTAAATAATAACTGATTAGCTGAATTCTGAAATAGGCTGCCAATTCCCCCCCCCCAAAAAAAAAGTCAGCCTGGAAGTACAAATATTCTGCTCTGCCTTCTTTGTAACAACTCTAATCATCCCCATGATTTTAATAAATTATAACCAGGGAAATCACAGTAAAGAGTCTTAACTATGACAGATCATAAATAAACGTGCTTCTGCATAACAGTTTCCTAAAGGTGATGGAGCCCACTGGATTTCTGGGGGGGGAGGAGTTTTCATGGATGGGTGCTATTGCTGAGAAACAAAATGTTCTTTCTCTCTGGAACAGAGTGTGTTACCTTAATTGAGATGGCAATTACAATTTGAACCCAAGGTTAAGATTTTTGTTTATTTCAAAAATGTCCATGCAAAGTATCACTTAGAAACTTCATGCCTGCTTAAGGCAACTGTGAGCAAGTAGTCTGCATTTTGTGTACTTACAAAGACAATTGAGCCCAAAATTTCCATTGCTAAGCAAGAGTGTGAGTTGTGCCCCATTTTATAACCTTGTTTGCCTGAGTGGTTAAACAAATCACTGCAGCTGTTAAGTGAATCATGCTGTTATTAAGTGAATCTGGCTTTCCCCATTGACTTTGCTTAATGGAAGTCAAATGGGAAGGTTGCAAATGGTGATCACATGACCCTGCAACTGTCACAAATATATGCCAAATTTTGATCACTTGTCCATGGGGATGTTGCAATGGTCATGTCACTTTTTTCAGTGCTGTTGTAACTTTAAACGATCACTAAATGAATGATTGTAAGTCAAGGACTACCTGTAATAGCAGATTTGTTAAGCAAGGAGGGAGGTTGTTGATACTGTTTGTGCAGTATGGATTGGAGACACTGTATGAATTTAGGAGCTAGGACTGAAGCTGCTATAAAAAGCAGGCATCACGTTCAGAGAGAGGATCCCCGAAGGAAGGAGAAATGTGCTAGAACTCAGTAAGGGCAAGCAAGATTGAGAAAGATTTTCAGAGCAGATCACTGAAAAGGATATGCTGCATCTACAAAAAACAGATCAGAGGTCAGTAAGGAAAAGCTTGAACAGCATAGTGGATTTCTACTGTAAGAAGTTCAGGAAAGAGTTATTCCCTCTTTTTTATCGCTTCTCTAGGCTAAAAGCAACTTGAAAGTGAAACTACTGTACTGTTTAACAGAATTAGAATAACCAAGTTTGATACATAGCAACTGCATGAGATAAGGGAGGAGCAAGCAAGCAGGCGAGATAGTTAAGGAAGTGTAAAACACTTTTTAAACTGAGGCTACTGTACAATAGGAATGAGCATAATTTACCTACTTCATATCATTATCATTCTAGCCATTGTATATCCACTGCGAAGGCCTTTTTCATATGTAAACCTGAGGTTTGTTTTTTTGCCAGTTGAGCCTGCAATACTTGCTAATGTCATTGATCCATCTTGTTTTAGATCTCTTTCTTGGACACTTTTTTTAATCAACTGGGATCCATTCTATGCCTTGGTCCACCTGCCATCAGTTCTTCTTGCTTTGTGACCAGCCCATTTCCATTCTTTTAGTCTCGTGACTAAATTTAAATTTATTTAAACACTAAAATGTGAACTTGATAAGGCAATGTCTATGAAGATTCTCAGTCAACCAGGTCAAAGGTGCTTTTTCAAAAGACAACTGAACTTTCTTTGTTTCCTTGAAGACATCTCACCGAATCAGAACTAAAGAAGCTTCTTGGATGAAAAGCGAGACATATTCAAGGAAAAAATGAAGGAAGTGTAGTTGCTTTTTGAAAAACTACTTTTGTGATAAGGCGCCGCTAAATGTGGGTACATTGGAGTAGGATTA